GAGTTACTTACCTTTAAGTATGATAGCTGCAGCTTTTTTGTAGCTATTCTTTTATCATGCTGAGGAAATTTTCTTCTATTTCTGGATTGCCGAGAGGTTTTTTGTTTGTTTTTTTGTTTGTTTCTTTGTTTGTTTATGATGAGTAGATGTTGGATTTTATTAATGCAATTTCTGCCTCTGTTCACAGTGATCATTATTATTTTTCTTTAACCTAGTGATGTGATTTACCTTGCATATCTGGGGTAACTCCCAATTGATGGTGGTATATAATAACTCTTATATATTGTTGGTTTGATTTACTAATATTTTGTGGAATATCTTTGCATCTATTTGTTTTCTTTTTTAAATATTTATTTCTTAGTTTTAGGTGAACTCGGGCCGCACGCATGCCAGGCGAGCGCACTACTGCTTGAGCCACATCCCCAACTCCCGAACACAATATTTTTTATTTTTATAGTTTTATTTTATATTTATGTGGTGCTGAGGATTGAACCCAGTGCTTCATGCATGCTAGGTGAGCACTCTACCACTGAGCCACAACCCCAGCCCCTTTGTTTGTTTTCTTATAATGTCTTCAAGGCTAGGTAATGCTGGCCTCATTCTATGAGTTAGAAATTATTCCTACTACATCTATGTTCTGGAAGAAATTGTAGAAAATTGGGAAAATTTTCTCTTTAAATATATGGTATTATTCACCAATGAACCCATATGGGCCCCGTGTGCACTGTTTTTGAAAGTTATTAAATATTGATTCAATTTCTTTGATATCATCCTATTCAGATTGTCTAATAGAAGGATTGTAATTTTCAATGAATTAGTCCGATTTTTACCTAGGTCATCAAATTTGTGGTCAGAGAGTTGTTTATAAATTTCTTTATTATCCTTTTGATGTCCTTGAGATTTGTTGTGATGAGATCTCATCTCTAGTAATGTCTCTTCTTTCATTTCTGATAACAGTAGTTTGTTTTCTCTGTCAGCCTGCTAAAATCTTATTGATTTTATTTATCATTTCAAAGAGTCAGCTTTTGGTTTCACTGATTCTCCCCCCCCCCACTTTACTGATTATTTTCCATTTTCAGCTTCTGCTCTAATTTCTATTATTTATTTTCTTCTACTTAATTTTGATTATGGATTGATTTAGAGACAGCAGTTTTGTTATATTGCCCTGACTGGCCTTTAAACTCCTGGACAATCCTCTTTAATGAGCCTCCCAAGTAGGAGACACTATAGGCACATACCATCCACCTGGCTCAATTTACATTTAATTTGCTCCTTTTCTAGTTTTCTAAGGTGGTAGCTTAGATTATTGATTTTGTATCTTGCTTCCTAATGTAAGCATTTAATGCCATAAAATTCTCTCTAAGCAGTGTGTTTATTGCATCCCACAGATTTTAATAAGTTTTAGTTTTGTTTTCATTCAGTTAAAAATATTTTAAAATTTCTCTTGGGATTTCCTCCCTTGAATCATGTCTTATTTAGAAGAGAGTTGTTTAATCGCTTAAGTATTTTGGAATTTGCTAGTTGTCTTTCTTTTACTGACTTCCAGTTTAATTCCTTTATGGTCTGAGAGCATATAACATATAAATTCTATTCTTTTGGAGTTGTTAGGGTATGTTTAATGGTCTAGAAGGTAGTCTACTTTGAAATGTTCCATGTGAGCTTGAGAAGAATCTGTCATCCACTGTTGTTGAATAGTGCCTATCTGCATGCCTATATACCCAGCAGCCTAGGGGAGACCAAGCCAGGAGGATCAAATTCAAAGCCAGCATCACCAACTTAGTGAGGCCCAAAGCAACTTAAGGAGACACTATCTCAAAATAAAAAATAAGAGGGACTGGGGATTGTGGCTTAGTGGTTAAGCACCCCTGGGTTCAATCCCCAGTACCAATAAATGGGGGGATGGATGATAGATAGATAATAGATAGACAGATAAACAATGTTTATTATATCCAGTTCACTGATGGTGCTAATGAGTTAAGCTATGTGCTGACTTTGATTTGTATTTCCCTAATGATTAACAATGCTGAGCATCATTTCATGTTTGTTGACCATTTGTTTACTTCTTTGGAGAAATATCTATTATATTGTCCTTTTTAAAAATTGTTTTATTGTTGTTGAGTTGTAGTATTATTAGATAATATAGATTAACATCTATTTTTAATATCTAAAATTAATAATAATAATTTTTAATAATATCTAAAATTGTAACTGTCCTTTTCCCAAACAATGCAGAGTCTTTAGAGCACTTGAGTTGTGATTCCTGTGTAATTTACAAGTTATTGTTGTCCAGTGTTTTAGTTCCACTTTGGTTTTATCCTTAATTTTGATTTTGGATTGATTTAGAGACAGCAGTCTTGTTATTTTTGAAAGTTATTAAATAGTGATTCAATTCAATATATACCACTACCTCCACCATCGATTTTTATTGTTTAACTGAACCAGTGCTCATTTAGGTTAGTTGCTTACCCTTTTTTCTTGAGTCTCCTGCCTTCCTTTCTTTCTTCCTTTTCTTTTGGTATTTCAAATCTGAGCTACCTCCTCAGCCCGAGTCTTCTGCCTTTCTTAAGGGATCAGTTTGTGTCTTCTGAATTGCATCCTGAGTAGTTCCTTCAATGAGGTCTGTTAATAAACTCTCAGGTTTTTATTTTCCTTTTATCTGTTTTGAAAGTGTTTCTAATATCAGAATGTGGGCTATCTTGATAAAGGTTTCATGTGAGTTTGAGGCGAATGTATCATCTTATGGTGTTGGATATACTTTATATGCATGTCCCTTACATTCATTTCATTGATAGTACTAATAAGTTAACTAAGTTAAATTATTTATTCATTTCCTTCCTCCCTTCCTCCCTTCCTCCCTCCCTCCCTCCCTTCCTTCCTTCCTTCCTTCCTTCCTAGCGCCTTGTACATGCCCCAGCACTCTACCAACTGTGTTTATTAATTTTCATAATTTAGCTGGGTATATGCTTCTAGGTTTACTGTTAATTTGTTTTAGAACTTTAAATGTATCAGTGCCTTTTATCTTTTACTTGCCACCTACTGAAAAGTTTCTACTGAGAACATGCTGTTTCTTTATAGATTGTTGCTGTGGTTTGAATGTGTTTCCTCAAAAATTAATTGAAATGTAATCTTCAGTGTAACAGTATTAAGAGGGGGAGCCCTTAAGAGATGATAAGGCCATGAGGCCAAACCCCTCGTGGATGGGATTAGCATCCTTGTAAATGGGCTCAAGAGAGTGAGTTCTCAACCTCTTTTGCCCGTCCACCCCTCTTTTTCTCCCTTTCCCCTGGCACCATGAGAAGACACAAACATTTAAGGTGCCATTTTTGGAGCAGAGGCCAGGCCCTCACCTCACAGAACCTGCTGGCATGTTGATCTTGGATCTTCCAGCCTCCAGAACTGTAAGAAGTAAATTCTTGTCCTTTACAATTTAGCCAGTTTGTGTTACAGCAGCACAAACAGACTGAGAATTATCTTTTTTCACTTGCTGCTTTTAGACTACCTATATGTGGAATTCTTCTGTATGTTTATGTGTCTAGTGCAGATTTAATTTTTTCCTGTTTAGGACATTGCTTCCCAAATTTGAGGTTCCTTATCTTTCATCAACTCTTGAAAAATCTTTGCTAGTATCTCTACAAATATTGTTTGTTGCCTGTTCTTTCTGTTTCATCCTTTCGGGCTTCCTGATAAACTTCCTCATGCTGGTCTCTTTATTTCCCTTGTCATTTAACAATATCTCTCTTTCCATCTTCTTAACTCTGTGCTGCCTTTTGTTATTTAGTCATATCTCTTCTTGACTACTGTTTTCTCTTAATTTGCATTTAATATGCTTTTAAAAAATTCTAGCTGATCTGTTTGGTTAATTTTCAAGTCTTCTGGTCTTTAAACATTGGAATATACTTCATAAAAGTACTCTTATTAATAAATATTTAAAAAATACATAATAGTAACCCACTCATTTTAAATATGAGGAAATGAAATACAAAACTATAGCCATGGCCCACTTTGGCTTTCTCCTTCCTCTGTTTCCTTTGAGTTACTATTTGGTGTGTATCCTCAGTGAGATTAAAAAATATATATATATACACAGTAGCTTTATGAACCCAGTACCTCATGCATGCTAGGTAAGTAAGTGCTCTACCACTGTGAGCAAGCCACAATCCTAGCCCATGAAATTGTTTTTGAAGAAACACTTTTATCCTCACATCTGAGGGTCTGGGGCCTTTCTGTTATAATACCAAAGGGCAAAGTTTGTTGAAACTTCCTGTTGGTTGGTTAAGGCCAAGCCATACCTAAATTCATTTACAAATCTGCCTATACTGTTGGGAGAAGAGATGTTGGTAACAGGTGAGGGAAGATCATGTTAGTACAATGAGAAGCTTGCCATTTATATAGCAAGGTGGATGGATTTTTATCATCATCATCATCATCATCATCATTTTTTAATTTTTTGTTCTACTTAGTTGGACATGACAGCAGAATGCATTTCAATTCATCGTACAGAAATGAAGTACAACATTTCAATTCTCTGTATAGATTATATTATTTTCAAGTCACCATAGTTCGTGAAAGATAACTTTTCTTACAATAATCTCAGGATTGTTTAGTGCCAAGAGCTTTCCATGTATTATGTAAAAACAACACAGTGGAGAGATACAGTAGGCATCATTGTCCTTATTTTACAACTAAGTAAAACTAAAATTTAGTTTTACTTAATGGCTTATAGAAAGGTAAAGATTTTCTGATACCTACCATGTGTTGGGGCTTCCTTCTCATCTTTCTGCCATGCTGCCTCTGGTAGCATTCTTCATCAGGGTGAAATCAATATCAACTGTAAAGAACCAGTGTTTTCTTGCAGGTTTATTTAAATTCAGTCATTCAACAAACATAGCACTTGCTATGTTTGACGTAAAAGGATTACAAATGGGAACTCTTTATAGTTTAGAGCTAAAGTGCAGGTTTGAGATTTGCTAACTGACTTGCCTTCTGCTTTCCTTCTATAGACTGATAATGGTTTCCAGCTGCCAAAGAAGGTTGTGGATGCCAAGAGAAAGGTAACCATTTCTCATCTCCTCAAGTGGAATTGGATGCCCCTGGGAGCCCACGTTGGCTGGCAGTAGATATGGCTGAATTTACTAGCTACAAGGATACTGCCTCCAGCCGCCATCTGCGGTTCAAGTTACAAAGCTTAAGTCGCCGCCTGGATGAATTGGAGGAAGCCACGAAAAACCTCCAAAAAGCAGAGGATGAGCTCCTGGATCTCCAGGACAAGGTGATTCAAGCAGAAGGCAGCAATTCCAGCATGTTGGCAGAGATTGAAGTGCTGCGCCAACGGGTGCTGAGAATTGAAGGAAAGGATGAGGAAATTAAGAGAGCAGAGGACCTGTGTCATCTGATGAAGGAGAAACTTGAAGAGGAGGAAAACCTCACCAGGGAACTGAAATCTGAGATTGAGCGGCTTCAGAAACGAATGGCTGAGTTGGAGAAGCTAGAGGAGGCCTTTAGCAGGAGCAAGAATGACTGTACCCAGCTTTGTTTGAGTCTAAACGAGGAGAGAAATTTGACCAAGAAAATCTCCTCTGAGCTGGAAATGCTCAGAGTCAAAGTGAAAGAACTGGAGTCTTCTGAGGATCGCCTGGATAAAACTGAGCAGAGTTTAGTGTCAGAGTTAGAAAAGTTGAAATCATTGACTCTGAGCTTTGTAAGTGAGAGAAAATACTTGAATGAAAAGGAGAAGGAAAATGAGAAACTGATAAAAGAGCTCACCCAAAAACTGGAGCAGAACAAGAAAATGAACCGAGATTATACAAGGAACGCGTCTAATCTTCTGGAAAGGAATGACCTACGGATTGAGGATGGCATCCCTTCTACCCTGCCATCCAAAGAGCCAAGAAGGAAGGGCACTCTGGACTATCTCAAGCAGGTGGAGAACGAAACAAGAAACAAAACAGAAAATGAAAAGAACCGAAATCAGGAGGACAACAAAGTTAAGGATCTGAACCAAGAGATTGAGAAACTTAAGACACAGATCAAACATTTTGAATCTTTGGAAGAAGAGCTTAAGAAAATGAGGGCCAAAAATAATGACCTTCAGGATAATTACCAAAGTGAACAAAATAGAAACAAAATCCTAGCCAATCAGTTGGAAGAGATAAAACTACAAATCAAGAAACAGAAAGAGTTAGAAAATGGGGAGGTAGAAGGGGAAGATGCTTTCCTGTCCAGCAAAGGAAGGCATGAGAGGACTAAGCCTAGAGGCCATGGGGGTGAAGCATCTGTGTCCAAGCACGCATCTCGGGAGCTGTCTCCTCAGCATAAGCGGGAAAGGCTCCGAAATAGGGAGTTTGTTCTTGGCAATGAAAACTATTCTCTGAGCAACAGGCAGGTTTCCTCTCCCACTTTCACCAATAGGAGGGCGGCCAAAGCCTCCAACATGGGGGCAGGTACAGACAGTGGGTCTCAGGAAGCAAAGAGAACTGAAGACCGATTTGCACCTGGATCGTCTCAGAGTGAAGGGAAGAAGTCCAGGGAGCAGCCATCAGTGCTTAGCCGCTACCCTCCAGCTGCTCAGGAGCACAGTAAAGTTTGGAAGTCATCTCCTAAGCCAGGCACTGACAGCGGACTAAAGGGTAAAGTAGAGAAGACAACAAGAACATTTACTGACTCCACCCATGGATCTGTTCCCAGTGACACACTGGGTAGAGCTGACAAGGCTTCTGATACCCCAGAGGCCCTCTTTGGCAAGAGGGGACAGGTTCCTGGCAGTGGAAATCAAATAACACTGGCTACAGATTCCAGCTGTTCTAAGACCATTGCACCTTTGAGCTCATCTCGAAGATCCTCCTCAGAAGGACTGTCTAAGGGCAAAAAGACTGCCAATGGCCTGGAGGCTGATAACAGCTTCCAAAATTCCAAGGCTCCTATTTTATCAAAGTATCCTTATAGCTCCAAAAGCCAGGAGAACATCCTTCCTGGATTCTCAGCCCCAAATAAAGAAGGAGCTGAGCAGTCCATAGCCGTTGTGATGGAAGATAGTAGCCAACATGAAGCCCTGAGATGTCGGGTCATCAAGTCCAGTGGCAGAGAGAAACCTGACTCAGATGATGACTTGGACGTAGCATCTCTGGTTACCGCCAAATTGGTAAGCACAACCATCACTCCTGAGCCAGAGCCCAAACTACAGCCTAACTCTAGAGAAAAGGCCAAATCCCGCATGGGACCTAGAAACTCTGTATTTGAGAATGATAAAAATGCTGGGATAGAAAACGAATCTATGAAACCTATCAGGGCCTTTACCAATGCCATGGAATTCTCAGATGCCAATGGTGCTGGGGTAAAAAACCAAAGGCCCTTTAGCCCCAGAGAGGCCTTGCGGTCTAGAGCTGTCATCAAACCTGTTATCATTGATAAAGATGTGAAAAAAATCATGGGAGGATCTGGAACTGAGGCCATCGTGATGGAGAAGCAGAAATCCACCTCAAAACCAGGGCCAAACAAAGTGACAAGCAGCATTACTATCTACCCCTCTGACAGCAGCAGCCCTAGAGCCATCCCAGGTGAGGCCCCAAGGGAGAGGCACACGTCCACCAGCAACATCCAGGTGGGGCCCCCAGAGCGCATAGCAGTTAGCAACCATGTCAACCCCCCCTTTGAGCTCTCTATTAATAAACATGACATCACCCTGCAGCTCACAGAAGCTGAAAAAATGGGAGACGAGCCCCTAAGGAATAGGCCAGAAACAGTGGTCTCTCGGAGCAGCATTCTAATCAAGCCATCAGATTCTGTGGAGAGGAATAGCCACGCCCCCCAAGCAGAGACAATCAGGTGGAAAAGCCATAGTGCCCCTTCAGAGGTGGGCTCCTCTGACACCAGACACGTTACTGTACGGAACGCCTGGAAGAGTAAGCGAGACTTGAAATCTTTAGAAGACCCCCCAACTCGAGTAGAGGTAGAAATGTAGAATCTACTAATGCTTACACCCAGAGGTCTTCCACAGACTTCTCAGAACTTGAACAGCCCAGGTCCTACCTTTCTGAGCAGGGCACTAGAAAGGTAGGAAATTCAGGAGATGGCCCAGAGCTGTCCTCGAGAAGGACCCAAAGTAGCCTCACCGTGTCAGAGGTGCTCACCCGTCGGAATCGGGTAGGAGACGCCATCACAGCTGCAGCTTGGAACCACTCATCAGGCATGGTGAGTCCCATGACTTTCCTTCTCTGCCCTGGTCCTCCTTTACTTTCTCCTTTTCTCTGTCCCTGTTTGTGTAACCCGATTTGGGAACTATGTGGCTGGGAAACACTGGGTAAAACTGGGTCTCTCTGAGAACTGGTGAAATCAGGTGGGTTTGGCAGAGAGCAGCGTGATTTTCCAACGTTCCCTTTTCCAATTTGTCTTCTCCATTTTGCTGTCAATCATGAAGGCAACACACATAGGAAAACTGGCCTCTGTTCTCTTGCGTTTCAGAGAAGTCTGAGGAGTTCCCAGATCAGTATTTGGAAGCATAAGAAGCAGCTGGAGTTGACAGGGAAGCTCTGGGTGCAAGTCGGAAGCTCTGAGAGCTTTCAGACATGATGGCTTGGTGAACAAGTTCTTGTCCTGCTGCCTCAGACAGTGGGTTTTGCAGGTCATTAGCATATGGGGGAAGAAAGCCAGGGCTTCCCCTAGGTCTACCTTATAAACTTCATATGCAAGTGTCACATTCTTTTGTCCTAGACAGCTGTCTGGCCCATTATACCTTTCTGAGGGTAGGGTTGGTTCAGCCTGGCTCAGTACAAGATAGATAAATCCAGAACCACCAGCTTTATTTGAGGGTCAGAGTGTCAGAACAGTATCTGAAAGACAGGTCCCCACGAGTGTCTTTTAGATGTGGAACCTATGATGCTTAGAGACATTTTGCCCAAGACACACATTCCTTCAAATCCCCATTTATTAGATACAGAAGCTGAGGGTCACAGACACAAAGTGCTCAAGATCACCCAAGTAAGTTACTGCAAGAGCTAAGATTGGAATTGGAAATTGGCATCTCTTAATCCAGCCCTCTTTCCATCCTGCTGTCTTTCTTACTTGTACTTTCATTCTTTGATTTGCATTTGCTTGGGAAGACAAAGGAGAACATTCAAAAGGCACAATTGCAGCAGAGCAGTGGGGAGAAAGACAGGAGTTTGGGCCCCGGAAACTTTGGACCTGAGAGAGGAGGTACAGGATGAGAGCCAGACATGGGATATAAACGGGAAGGCATGTGAGTTTTTTGGTAATTCAAAGTGAGGAGTGTAAAAAAGAGCTATTTAGCCTTTTTGGCACATACCCTTCTTTAGCTCCCACCCTTACCTCAAAATGGCTTTCACCCCAGAATGCAGCCTGCCCTTGAGTGCATGAAGCATGCAACTCAAGGACTGCTGACCACCACTTAGGGGTACCGTGCCATGTTCCCATTGTCCTAGGCTCTGTCCTGTAAGGCTCCTGGTCAGCTGAGTCCCCTGGTCTACCCCAGTTTTTCCCAACAGCTTGGAGTTCTATTGTATTCTGATTTGTAAGGAATTTTTGTATAGGCCTCTCAAACAAAAGCCTGTCTTGGCTGTTACAGTGGCCTGTGTATCTCTACCAGGTGCGGGGGTTGGGGGGGGTTGGGGGGTGGGGATGTGCCCATTTGGTGTAGGAAATGAGGGTGTCTTGGTCCTTGCTGTACCATCTTCTGCAGCTCACTTTTTTCATTTATTGGCATAGGAGGAGGGTGAAGACTGCACACTTACTGTCTACCGGCGGCTGCACAACTCCCTGGAGCGGTCTGAATCGCCCGTGAAGCAAGGGCTACCAGAGCCTGGGCGAGTCCGGGCCGAGGAACGATTACGACCAAACAGGCCTTGTGCTGAGGAAAACTGAGCCAGCTGGTGAGGTCTGCTCTGTCTCCTCTGCTGCTGCTTTTTAGCTCTTCCATTTCCTGCCCTGTGAAGACTCCAAGACCAGTTCTCCAGGCTAGGCACAAGGCCTTGGCTGGGAGACTGGTAGACAGCTGGGCTGTGGCTCAGGTAATTTTTGCCTGTTGGTCAGAGGGAATCAGAGACTACAAACCAGAGTCCCTAGGCCCAGCCTTCCCTGATGCATGAGTCCTTTCTCCTCGTTCCTGTCCCTAAGGTAACTTGGGCCACTCTGGCCCCCAAATGGGAAGATATAGAAACCCCACCACCAGAAACAGTAGCAGAAAGTTCTCCTCTGCTGCTTGGTGGGTTGTTTCTGTATCATAGAACAGCCCCTTCTCCGTGTGGGTAATGAATGCCCTGATTTCTGCCTCCTTACCACGAGGGCCCAAGTACAAGAATGACCGGCTATCAACTTTTTTTTTCTTTCTGGGGGCTTCCATTTTTTTCCTACTTGGAGTTCCTCAGACTTTGAAAGTCACAGGGGTTCGTGCTGCCTCTGAGCTACCCTTCAAGTTGAAACTTCTCTGACCTGGCCCCCTGGCTGATCAGTTTCTTGGGGACAGAGCATGTAGACACCCATTGGAATGACACATCCCTCCCCCACCCCAGCTCTCTGCTCCCCGTTCCAAAGGCCTCTGGAAGTGCACAAGCTTCATGCGTCTCCTTCCCTGGGCACCAGTAATGCTGCTGGCACCACTTGCTCTTTCCTGTGGCTAGAGACCTCAGCTAACTTCATGTTCCCATCTTGGGAAAATCCCTAGACTGAGCTGGGCCTGACACGGCACACTGCCTTCTAGGACGTGCCCAGCAAGGGGGAAGTCAGGCAGGAAGAAGCAATTCCCTGTGGTCACTCCACAAGCAATAGCTCCATGGAAGGCACGGACTGAGAATACTCCCTCCTTTTCCTCCTCCATCCCTGTGGAGGAGGCTTCGCACTTTACGGCGCTGATGCATTCCTATGGAAGCGGCCTCTGGTTTCTGCAGGTTGACTATCATTACATGCCTTCATTGGAGGAAAGGTGATTCCTGCCCATCGAGGACCTCAGGTTTATACATTCAAAGTGCAGTAACCTTTCAGAAAGCCACAAAAATACAAATGGATTTGTTTTTTTATACCAATCACATAAGGCAGTTAAAAAGGATTGTACACTCCTGGCCCTGCTTTTTCTGTAGCATTCTCAATTTAAAGAAGGGTCCCCTTCAAAAGCTGCTTGTATGAAGCAGACGCTGTTGCCTTCAAACAAGAGAACATTAGACCAGATGTCTGGAAAGCTGGTTTTTCCCCATGGCTTTACTTCCTTGCTGTGTGACCTTGGGAGAATCATTGTCCTCCTGAAGCCTCTTTCCCTATTTGTAAAATGAGTTCTTTGAAATGAATGATCTTGTATTCTGAGATCCCCATTTTCACCATCCGGTGTGGGCTGATTTTTACTTCTAGAAGGTATTGTCTACAGGAGTTTCCCTCCTGCCTACAGTCGTCTCTCTGGGCCTTATTATGCTTTCTAGTCTCATGGAAGTGAGGGCAGAAAAGTTCCCTATTCCTACATTTCCACCTGCTAAGTGAAGGACTTTGACTGGATGGTGTCAGAGGCCTTGTGTGGCACCAGCTTTGCCTGATGCCAGACAGATGTCTGCCTGTCAGGCCAGGTGCTTTCTGTAGCACAAGTCTCCCATTCCTGTTCCTCTCTCTCCAATTTCCTGGTAAGAGGGAAGACAGAGAACTTCCTTGAGAGGACTGAGTGGCCTTCCCTGCCTCAATTCAGCATGGGCCCCAACATTCATCCTGCCCCATGTTTGCACCAGACTATGCTGTCCTGAGGTGACTTGGGTCACAGCTACCTACCTTACTTCCACACTAGTTTTCCAGAGTTTGCCAATCTAAAGGCATTTTCATGTGGCTTGCCTCTCCTCTTCACATCCCATCTCATATGCACTACTTAGGACGCTGTTTTTAAAAGATCTCTTCCTGCTGCTTCTCCTGGGTCGCTCACTGGCCAGAAACTTGCTCACTGAAGGATGCAACCCCTTCTTTGCAGCATCCCACCATTCTCCTTAACCATTTGGCAGCCCTGAGTGTTCAAAGGAAATTGACCTCTGTAGTGGTCAATTGCGGGTACAGAAACAAGTCTGTAGCTCTTCTCCACTGATGGAAACAGGAGGGCATCCGACATGCCTAAAAAGATCTCGCCAATAATTTTTGTCTTTGGGTGTTGGAGCCCTGGATTCTGGTGCTGTAGCTCCTGGTGCCAAAGTTTGGATCCTTCCACATTTCAGCAGCACCAACATCTGCTGCTACTCAAAATGCTCTATGGAAAAGGGACAGTTGTAGTGCCCTTTTACTGGGGCTGCCATTTTGAAATCTGAGTGCAATAGGGTTTGATTGTAACAATTATTTCAGGATAAATATTGTATTTGTTTCTTTAATCTGCACACTTTCTAGGACCTCTGTAAAATAGATTTTATTTTTAAATGTTCTCAGCATTGCAGAAAATAGCATTTGTACTAGTGAGTGAAGGCTGAGGCTCATGTCCTTTGGGCTTCAAATGGCTAGCAAGGCTGGCCTCAGATTCCAAAGTAGGAAGGCACATTTCTGAAAAGCAGCCAAGGTGTGACCATTCAGACCAGGACCTCACCATCAGGGGTCCTGGAGGAAGCCTTCAAGTAGCAGGGAGACCTGGTAGTTGAATAGTTGTCTAACCAAGCCAAATATTCCCACTGTCCCAGCCAACAAACCCACTTTAGAATCTTCCGCAGCCTGGCTCGAACTTAAAATGTACCAGCAGGTGTATGGTTGTGGGAGGGTTCCTGGTGAAGCTGGGGAACTTGTCCCCACAGAGCTTCTTGGAGAAAATAAAGCTGGCTACATGCCAGGAGCTGGTCTTTTCTGCTCTGATACTAAAACTACCAGGGAAAGCTACAAGGGTGGTGGCCAGAGAAGCCATGGCAGGGAAATGGTTATAAGTATGGGTGGAAGGGATGTGAGTGGGGCCAACAACTCCAGTCTGGGTTGCAGACAAGCTTGCACACGGCTCTTCCCCTCTCAAGAGTTTTGGGGTGTGGGAGGGCCTCTAGTGTTCTTGGACTTTGTCCTGGGGCAGTTTTAGTTTTTTAGATTTAGTGGGTCAGTGCCAAGTGCTACACTTCCCAGTAAAGGAACAGGGTCCCTGGCTGCCTTTGTTGGTGTGGGATTCTTTGTTAACAAACTCTGGCAAGATTGCTTTGGAAGAGCTGCTTGTAGGGATTATCTTTTGAATACCCCAAGTGGGGAACAGGGCTCTCCTCAAAGCCTCAACCAAGATCATAGGAAAGGGGCCCTATTTTCCTGCTGCTTCACAGCTCAGAACATGTACTGAACGAACGGAATGTATTTTTAAGAGAATAAAGTCTATTTTTTTGTATTTTAAAGATGGGGGTGGGCTAGAAAGATAGCCCTCAAATAAACTGATACTGCGTTATAGGCCCCTGTGCTGGGGCACCAGTCTTTAGTCGGTCCACACCTACTTGCTCAAGCAGGGGCTTTGGCTTCACCCCTGCTCCTTGGAGTCTAGGTGTAGTAGCTTCTGCTCCAAGAATGGGACCAAGGGAGCTATAGAACCTGCCGCTGGAAACCAGGGCAAAGCCATGGGCAGTGGCTCAGGGCTCCTTGGGTGCATGTGTAGAGTTGAAGCTCCTGTCTGCATGTATCCTCTGGCTCTCATGCTCTCTGTTGACTCTGCAGCACAGTATGTACCAATAAAGTTCCCTAGTTTCCACATGCGTGGTGTTGAGTGGTCAGTGATGCCAATTTTATTGATGTCTCTTTTCTCTCCATTGGTGCATCCAGTGTATTTCACCAGTTAACTGAACAAGAGTTAGAATCAGCTATTTGCTAAACGTTTTCTTTTCAAATCTGTTGTCACAAAAAGCAGCCTCTCTTCCAACTGCTTGTGTCATAATCAGCCCCATCAGGTTGCAGTGGTGGTGGCAGCACTGGGATTCAAATCAAGTGTGCATCCCAAGCCCAAGCACTTTCTTCCATATGTGGTTCCCATCTTTCCGTCAGTTATTTTAATCTTCGTCAGACCACCAATATAATGTCCTTTCATCTCATCTAGACTAACTGTAAGGAGGAACTGGCCAACACAAGTGAAATCTGATTGCCAGGAGCTACTACTTCCTGTGCACTGCAATAGCATAGCATTTGTTAAAAGCCCCCAAGAAAGGAATGCTCCTGTTCCCTTCTTGTAAAACTGTTTTCATGTGGCAAAGAGCACACTACAGAATTGTGAGTTAGTTGGAGAGAACTAACTCACAAGAATCCCAACGCAGGGCGACAGGTTTGACTATAGGGGAAGGCATCCGCACCAACATAGTCAGCCACTCGAAGCTGAAAAAGGTGAGGAAACAGCTCTCAGATCCTCCACAGTAAATGCAGCCACACAGACCCACCGTAGACTGGCCATCCCCAAACTGCAAGAAAGTTTGTTGTTTTAAGCCACTAACAGCCAAATCACCCAAGCCTTTGATCCGCTCATGTAATACTTCCCAGATCGACACCATTGCAAAGTGAGCAAGCACACTGCCTTCAGAGGGGATCTGAGGAATAAAGGCGGAATGATGGTCTGTTAAAAACTATTTACACAAACTTGGGCCCTCTATCTCGAAAATGCACCTGAGGTTCCCCTCATACACTGTTGGCACACCACCCCACAGTTCCAGCAGGGACATCAAGCCCCACTGGCCAGAAAGTACACTGTACCTATGGGCACGCCCTGAAACCATTTTCCCCTTTGTAGGAATATCCTCATTTAAATAGGGAGAACACACACCACTATCATCATAAGGTAGAATACTTATAATTCTGTCTTAGCCTTCCGAGTTGCTTGGATTATAGGAAGATTCCCATTGAAGTAACACCCCTACTTTGTACCCAACTCCCATCCAAAAGACAAAAAAAAAAAAAAAAAGACTAATTTTTTTATGAAGTTTTATTCTCAAAATATAGAAAAAAAAACCCAAAAAACGCCAAAAGACTAAGATGTTATCTCACAACACTTGCCTCAGTCTTTATGAAGAACACAATTCCAAACTAGTGGACAAGTTCTTCTCTGAGAATGTGACCCTCTGTCAGATCAGGAGCCCTCCCAGCTGATGGTGAGTCCAGGTAACAGGATGGGACCTTCTCAGTGGGATCTAATATTGCTAGAAGAGCTTCCTTTACATGGCAAAAGACACCAGATCTCCTCAGGATACCTCTGTCTCACATGCTTGGAGACTGCTGCGCAGGAACACCTGGTGTGGCCTGGCGAGGCAGTGTGTACATGGCTCCCAAGAACTGGTCTGCAATCCTTCCTGCTTCTCGAAGCCCACTCAGCAGAGCACCATGGACTGTGGCGGGGTAGTTCCGGATTGTATGCTCTCCCGCAAAGAAGAGTCGTGGGATTGGCTATTTCAGAGAGAAAAAAAAATTAGGAGGTTAGAAGTATGTTTATTCTTTGAACTGCCAAATTCCTATTGACCTTTGAAGGCTGATCCTGCTCCAGGCAGTTAACTATCAATTCTATGAAAGTCTCTTACAATAAAGCATTTTCCTAGGATTGACAGAAGGAGAAATCGGACTCAGCCCAGCCTCAGTTCTAGTGATACTTATTAACTGCATCTATTCTTATCAGTTTAATGATGCTCAAATTTCTAGCTTTCTTTACCGCATGTAGTGCCTAGTGATGGCAGAGATGGGGGTGTCTTACCCATTCTGAACTAGAGAGTAGAGCACTTAGTCCAATTCAGGAATTCTTTCACCTCTAGTTCAGAGCAAACCCAAGTCCTAGGCTACGGTACTGAGGAAGCTTCCCTGATCTGTGGAATAAGGTCTGACAAAAGTCTAAATAGGGGTCCACAGCTATTTCTCAGGGACATGGCCTTGAAGCCCCTAGAGACTGAAATCCCTTTAACAACCTGAGTTATGCATAATTAAAAATGGGTCTTGTTTTATAAAGGGAAAAACTTAAGTTCCTGACTGGCATAGCTCTTCCATTTTGAATGTAGACTGCAAGAAAACAGACGCAAACACTATGCTCCCTTTCCATCTGCTCCTGCTACCCGAAAGGGTCTAAGGATAGAACGAACCATTAAGGAGAGAAATCGGTGACTTCAATTTTGCCCTGGGACACTCTTTCTGGATAAGCCCAGAAATAAATTTCTAGTCTCTCACCTGTGGGGCCCCTGGAATTGAGGGCCCAGGAGTGATTGGCTGAGCCATTAAATCATAATCGTTTCCAGATGATCCTGCAGCTACATAGGAATAGGAGCCCCGAGCCCAGGGATCAGCACGCCAACGAGACACCACAGTTTCCTTGGGCTAAAGGGAAAAACACAAGCAAAAGTCAGTAGCACCAAGGACAAACCAGCCATCTCCAAGAGGTGTAAAAGCAGGTGTGAGCTGGGCATGAATACACCGCTGCTTTGAACTACTGAGGCAAAATGACTTCAGACTGCAAAGGCACTTCCACCACGCCTCCTTGTCCACGACTCAGGGCCACACAGCACTTGACTGTTACTCTCTATATATGGAACATTAATGTCCCTCCCTTCAAAGAAATAAGTGGCTGACATTATCACAGTGGCTCTAAAGGAGAAAAAAAGCACGATGGGATTCTCTTAGGACTTCCCTGGGGCATTCGCTAATCTGGCCACTTTGTCTAAAAATCGAAAGTGGCGTGGCTCTGCAGGCAGAAAAGAAATGCAGCCAACAGCCTATAGATTCTGACTCGGGCACCAAGGGGCTTTTTCTAAATGCCAATGGAGTCCTGGAGTCCACATACATTGAAATTCACACAACCCAGCACACACTGAAACGGAAACTGTCCTGACCGAGAACTTCCAAACCCTAGTTGAGTCTGAATCTGGATCCCTCTTGTTCCCTCCACTAACTTACCTGGGGCACTGCACTGCTACCAAAAATCCCTTTGAGAATGGCTAGGCACCGGCCAACAATCACATCGTCGCTGATATTTTCCATGATGCCTGCGGCTTCTCCTGCCACCAGTGCCAACAGTATAGGAGCTGGACAAACAGAACAATTCCAGGGTTTTCTAGATTGTTCTCAAGAACTACCCTGTTAAGCCCCACCCTTGTTCCTGGCACTCTGGCAGCATCACTCAAATGCTAGCAACATGATTTTCCTAAACTCCATCCCCAGAAGTTGGCCAGAGGGGTTGGTCTTCTACAGTGAGTGCAGCAGGACACGGCACTTTGCTGCTGCTTGCTCCACAGAACGCAGCGGCCCTGAGCACCTCACACGGCTCCAGGACCAGGGCTGTCCCTTCTGTTATCTCGGGCCCCTCTCCAAGCCCATCGCTGCCTTTAGTCACTTGGAGAGTGTTTATGAAACAGACATGTATGAGGAGCACAGGGCTAGATCCTGGGGATAGAAAATACAGAAACTAGACCCTACTCCATTCAAGTCACAAATGACCACGCAGATATGATTAGGAACTGGGATGCTCTGAAAATATAGGATACAGGGCCAAATGCAATGGGCATGCTTAGTGTCCTTGAAAGGCCTCTTTGAAATACTGACATTTAGCCCAAGACCTGAAGGCTGAGAACAAGCCAGGTTGGGAAGAGATGAAGGAAAATAGTGGCCCAGGCCACAGCACAAGCTGGGGCCCAAAGTGAAAACCAGTACAGCGACCTATAACCAGGAGGTCAAGTCAGTGTGCCTGGAGTAGAGCAGTGGGAGGAGACAAGAGGCGGCTGGAGAGGGTTACATTAAGGTGAGCTCTGAGGTGGCCAGGAGGAGGAGGAGGAATTTGAATGTTTTCCTTCAGCAACAGAAAGATATCAAAAGAGAAAAGTAGGAATTATGAATAGTAAATTGGCAGCTGCCAGGTGAGAGGTGAGAGTGGCCTGGACTGGAGAGGGCAGTGGAGAAGGAGCACTCAGGTCTGAGGAATACTGCGAGATAGCACTGAGGGGACCTGATGCCTGGGTGGAGAAAGGGAAAAAGCACTTGTCAGTGCGCTGTGACAGGAGCAAAGCACCTCCTCCATGGAAAGAGCAGCTCTGGAGGTGAGGACGGCACTTCCCCACTAAGCAGGGAGACAGGAGGAGCTGGGGTGGCTCATTCATGTGCCTGCACCATCAAGGCCACGCCCTGGGTGCAGCTGTGTAGTCAAGGTCAGTTCCTGTCTCCTACGTGGAGGGAGGTGAGGATGCACAGACTTTTTCCCTCTAATACAGAGTTAACAGGAGTCCAATTACAGAACAAGAGACAGGGATATGAAAAATGCATCAAATGGAAGTGATCAAAGACTCAGGGTGAAGTGGGTATGACAGTCTGAGAATGAAAATACCAGCTGCTTTTTCCAGGAAGCCTCCCCAGCCCGCCCCTCCCTGCTAACGTGATTCTTTTTATGTGTTCTTTTCCCGACACCTAGAAGGAGTTCTAGGAATTGCTTACTGGGTTAAGCAAAATAAAAATTAAAGCATGTAAGTTTGAGGAAACCTCCAATGTTCCTAATTCTGTGTTCCTATAAGAATATGAGAAAAAGCTAAAAAGCAGTTACCTTTATAGAGGTTCCAGAAGAGGAAGAGCTCACCCCTGCTGGCAGTCGTACTGCCAACGTGCCCGAACAAATTGACACTCGGATCCCAGAACACACGGTCAAAACACAGCACCACCTGCAGAAGGGGGCAAGTGAGCTGCTGCGGCCTCCACCCACAGCCTTCTTGGAGTGGTTCTGTTCCTCAGCAGGAACCACTTCCTCCTCAGAC